TTGACAAATAATTGGATATTAGTATACCATAGCCATCATTTGGTGAAACCAAATTATTTGTATCTGTGTTGATAGATGACATGATTAAGATAACAAAACTTCTACAAAACCTAAATCATTGAAAAAATTATTCGAATATGGCATACAAATAGAAGCTAACATGAAACTATTATAACACGAGAACTAACCTTGTTTATCAAAGAAAACCAAGACACATATAGATCTAGAGAGGCTACATATTTATAGAACATAAAAATAATTAGGATTATTTAGAGGCTAAGTTAATATTTAGATCCAAATCGAATAACTGTTGAAAACCTATTAATTATATCTAAGTTAACAAATAGTGACAAAGATATGCCCATAATATTTAGAAAAAATTGGATTGTATATCCTAAATTTTATTGAAAATTTGAAATCTATACCAAATTTATCATAATTTGAAAAATACCATATTTTGTTATTTAAAATGACAGTTTTATCCTTAGTTAAAGAAAAACATTTTAAAAAATGATTTGAATTTTCCAAATTTTATTTAATAATTTGATTAATAATCTTTAAAATTGATTTGGTAAAGATTGTAGATAATAATTAATTTAAATTACAATATTTTTTTATTGATTTAAATAAAATTACCAATTGATCTTTTTTTAGAAAATAAAATTACGAATTGATTTTAATTATTTTTTCTTATTATAATTTAATTAATTTAGATAATAATATGTCAGGTCAATGACCATAAAAATTTAAATCAATGGTTTAAAAAAGTCAATAGAGTAAAAAGTCAACCAACCAAGATATAAATCGGTAGTTTAAAATAAATCGATGAATAAAAAAATTTAAGTCGACGAAATAAATAAAATAAGTCAGTAGTTTAAATAAGTCGAAAACTTAAAATGTTAATCAAACGAAATATAAGTCAATAGTTTAAAATAAGTCGACAAAAGTGAAAATAAAGTCGACGAAGATAAAAAAAATAAGTCAATGGTTAAATAAGTCGACAAAGTAAAAAATCAAACAAACGATAAAATATGTCAACAGTTTAAAATAAGTCGATAAAACTAAAAATTAAGTCGACAAAATTAAAAAAAAAAATAAGTCAATGGTTAAACAAGTNGACAAAGTAAAAAATCAAGCAAACGAAATATAAGTCGAAGGTTTAAAATAAGTCGAAGAAGCTACATATTAAGTCGACGAACATAAAAATAATAAATCAATTATGTAAATAAATCAAAAAAGTAAAAAAATCAACCAAACAAATATAAGTCGACTGTAAAATAAGTAAATCTTTATTTTTTTATTTAATAAAAAAATTGGCTTTTAGACATAGATATTTTTAAAAATAAAAAGTAAATACGAAATTAAATTTCGAATTTAAGTTTAATAATTTTATTTTTTTTTATAAATTTATATAATAAGTCAAATATGTATAAGAATATTTACGTACTTTTATATAATAAAAATTATAGTTTTTCAAGTTTACAAGATTAAGTCTAGTTTTCAAATTTTCATTAAAATATATGAAATGTTTATGCAGTGACATGGGAATGTTTTTCTTGACAGCTAACACAGAACATGTGGAAGTATCCATTAGAAAATATCATCAGATTGTATCACTCCTTGGTCTTACTCAGCTTTCGTTTCGTTTCGTTTTTATCACTCCTTGGTATCACTCGGAAGATTCTATCTATGGCTACAATTCAGACAATGTATATAGGTCATGTTTGAGTTTAAATGGCTTTAAGTAGAAGAGAGCAAGAGAAGTAGACACATACCATGAAGAATAGCAGACAAGCTTCCGGTGGGCATGTAATCGAAGACGAGAAGCTTCTCATCTTTGGAGTAATAATAAGCCCTCAATGGAATAACATTTGGGTGTTTCATTTTGCCGACAATATCCATCTATGTCTCGAACTCCTTCTTGGAAGCCATGACATCCTTGAGCCGCTTCATCACCACCGTCGTGCCTTCCTCTAGCTAGCACCGCCTTATACGAAGTCCCTACGCTTCCTTTACCCAAAACAAATCTTCCAGATCAAAAGTTCAAAACTATACACTCCTCCTTCCGTGAACACAAGCTTGTTCCTCTGTGTTTTTCCTCCCATCCCCGACGATATTCCCGTGGCTTCCTCTTTCGACGAAGAAGCCCCCACCGATAGAACATCCATCGTCGTGGCTCCCGCCGGTTTCTTCTGTTCCGTTCGCGCGTCCTTGCTATCTCGCCGTCTTCTCAGGCAAAGGAACAAGAGAAGAGCAAGAAGGAGAAGACCCACGAGTGCGCTAGTGATTAGTGCCATGAAACTATAGACTTTAGACACACTCTATTCAATAATATCCATTACTGATTAAAGAGTTTAGGAAGAGATTATTGTCATGGAAGTGGATTAGTCTTAAATTAGTGATCCTTGTCCTAATAATGAACTTGATTAGATCTTAACACCATCGTCCAATGGATTACTCATCAATTGCTTTAACCCATGATTCATATCCCTCTTGATTGATTCCGTTTTCTTTATACTTGTTTAGTGTTTGCATTGCTATTTTCTTTCAATTTACTTTGCTTCGTCTTTATTCATTGCATTGCCTTATCTTACTTGTTAGTTTACCATTTTCGTATTTAGTATTGCATTTCATTTCGTAATTGTCATTTAGGAACCTAAAGAAAAACCCAAAAACATTTCAGACTTAGCTTTTAAAGTTCTTTACATTTTTATTGTCCTAATCATTTTCTTTGTGGATTCAATCCGTAAATTCTACATGAAATTGCCATGCACTTGTGGTCGTTTAGGATTAGGACTTATTAGTAGTTGAAAAACTATCCCTATCAAGATGCAAGGAGGAAGATCATTATTATTTCTTCACCTGTTACAATACCCCATATATATACACGAAGGTAAGTCGGCAAACCCTATTCTTCAACATGGAGTAACAATATAATAAGAAGGATAATTATCTTATCTATTTAGAATA